ACATATAACTATATATAGTGTATAACGTTCCTTATCTGAATTATTACAAAGCACATTCGAAGACGAAAGGAGTATGTCGTTTTCAACGCTAGTCACAATACTTCTTGAATCTTTGGGTATGCTAGCATTGGAGATGTGGGTATGCTAGTGCTAACCTTGAAACTGTGGGTATGCTAGATGTACAAGCTATGTGAATATTACACGATTAACAAGTGTTGCACAAGCAGACCAAAATATCCTGATACTATATACTACCTCGAATAAAAACTTACCAGGCACTTCCTCGGGGTACACGAGTGCACTACCACCAGCGTGGCTGGCAACTATCGCAATCGAGTGGTTCTGACTAAGCATAAGATATGCATTCAAGAAAACCATCACAGCGTCCAAACAGGCAGCAAAGCTGGTCTGATTTGTCTCCCCATCTACCATGCTATTCGCGCCTATGTCACCCCAGATATAAAGACTGCAGTCTATAACTAAGACCAGCAGATAATCGGAAGCTCGAGTGGGCCCTTGGCTAGTACGTTTCTTGGCTAGGTCCATGGTGCCGCTGTCTTGCGATTTTCAGTCTAATACAGTATGCCAGCATACACTTTGAGCTGAGCCATCTACTAACAGCGCAATACTAGGCAAAGTATGTACAATTATTGAAAAGAGCATGCATAATGTAAAACAGCTTTCTGACAGTGGCACTCAATGTAGAGTATTATTAGACCAAGAGTTCATGAAATAGAAATAGCATCATCGAGTGTTTTAAATACCATTATTTTGCACATATTGTTTAGCTTTTGGCCAAAAAAAAAGGAACATAACCCTACATGACAAACCCAATATTAATTGGTACAGAACTAGATATTTAAAAAAGACGCGCCGTACAGCATCCTGTGACAATAATATTTAAAAAATACCTCTCTACTCTACTAGTATTTAGCTAGTAGAGAGGCCTAGTGGTCTAGAGTAGAGCATAGCCTCCTAAAAAAACCAGCTAGAGATTCCTATGTTTTAGTAGAACTATGCATATTAATTATACATAAATATTTCATTTATTTTATCATGTTGGCAACAACAGAGTTGAACTTACTTCTGAAATGTAAAATATTTAGTATGTTGTTGTTGGCAATACAATGCTGTCTCCGCAAGTATCAACTGCAAAAGCATAATATGATATCAGAGCGATGCCTGGGAATACGATAGTGATACACAAACACGAGCTGTGAACAACCACGAATGATGTAACACATCATACATATTATTACAGACTTGGGTCTGACAATAGTGTTTTGTATACAGCGTGCCAATAAGCTATCGCCGTCACGACCTATCCTTGTATTAATCTGCTCTCGCGATTTTTTGCGACCCCGACATAACCACAAATAAAAATGAGACTTCGCCGGTCGTAATACACCACCATTGGTCTTTACTCTCGAGATCTTTTAACTGTAGGGATCAAGCGTGCTGCTGGTAAGCAGGTTATAAAAATTCACCTCGGTTGAGATATTAATGTGATATAGATCAACCGTGCACTAGATATGTACGCCGATAGGGGGCGCCTATGTAGTCTAAATTATGCAGGTAGAAGCAAACACACTACTATTAAACCGCTGAGGCCAAGAATTTTCAAATGAACAGCTTTCGCCACATGAACATTTGAAAACATACAGAATGACTCGAGCATGTCAAATTCGGTAATCGAGATTACCTGGCCAAAGTCCAAGCCTTCCGGTGACAGCTATGTGATTTCACTCAGTGAAGCATTATCAAACAAGCGTGCGATTATAATTCTAATGTGATATAAATTGACTGTGCATTGGCTGAAGTACGCCCATTTGAGACGCACGCACGATATATCATAACCGCATGTGGTATAGAGCTGAAGTGACAATGATAGTCTAAGCTATACAGACAGAAAGCTAATATACAACTGTTTAACCGTTGAGGCCAAGAATCTTATTAAATAAAAACAACTTCCACCACAGGATCATTTGGAATCGTACAGAACGGCTCGAGCATGTCGTCGGCAATCGAATAAGTTATATCGCCTATCTGGTCAAAACTTCAGCGTCTCGCAACGTCAGGTGATAGCTATGTGATTTCACTCAGTAAAGAATCCTCACTACTAGTGAGCATGTTAGAACGATCCCACCTCGTTTTGAAAATATAATGCCAAAAATAAGATATGAATTAAACGTGTGGACAAGCTGAAGTATGTCGACTGGAGGCGCACACGCTATATATCATCATTTACATATGGTATAGGTGGAAAGACTTTAATAGTCTAAATTATGCAGATAGAAAGCAAACACTCAATTTTTTACCCACTGAGGCCAGGAATTTAAACTTGAATAGCTCCCGCCGCGTGATCAGTAGATGTCGTACAAAATGGCTCGAGCAAGTCCAAATCGGCAATTGAGAAAGCCGTATAGTCTATCTGGTCAACGCCCCAGTCTTTTGTTTCGTCTGATGACAGCTGTGTAATTTCACTCATTAGAGCCTCCACAGAACTATCTTCGAATACTTCCGTATTCGCAGACAAGCACCGAGACAAGTTCATATTCTTTACGTAAGTACGAATAATAGTATTCTGCCCAGCAGCATTATCTTCACAAATATGTGAACTGCTTGCATGCTCAATCCTGTTGACACCCAATTCACAGGACTTCTGATCAGTCAAGATGATATCAGGTGTGCGAATGTTTACAGTGCTCAGAGTATTTGCTAGCACCTGCGAACGGCAGTCACTAGTCGGCGACGACGAGTTTGAACATGATGCTGCGCACTCGGCTGTATCCGTATCACTACCCACTGACACTCGTGTGGATATCTTCCTCGCATTTGGCTTTCTGTCTTGCAGGACCACCGTCGGAATACTCTTTGTACGAACACATCTATTGAAGCTCGCATCCTTCATGGGCCTTGGTATAGTCGGGTTATCAGTTCGCCTGTTGGTGATAACTTGTGAGCTGGGGCCTGTGTGCCTGTATCTCTCACTACCTCCTACATGGAAACCACCTGGTCGTGCATCACCGTACAAGTAGGACCCAACCGGTCTAGTCTGTTGTGAAAAATGTATATTTCCGACCGCCGATGTCTGCCTTCGTTGAGAGCCATTTGGATACACGTCTGTTCTCCTACACAAATCAGATCCACCAGGATACTGCGACTCAGGCGTCGCCATACGATTGCCACCATTATTAGTCAGTCGTATAGGCTTGGATGATCGTGTGTATGGTTCATGGTGTGCATATTGATACGAATATGCCCGTTCGTGAGGCCGCCAACGCGGTCCATAGTATCGACTATTGTAATCACTATGATAATGGGGTTCTCGCTCGTGATATTCCTCTTCATGCAGAAATCCATCTCTGTGTAAATCCTGCTGCCGATTTATAGAATGTATTATTCTGGTCCATAGCGGGTTATCTATAGGTTCTGAATATGCATCACGCGAGTGGCCGGCTTCGTTCCACATATAATTGCGATGATCTGCGAAATCTTCCCGCATGTGCGGGTAGTGGCTTGCCGCAGCACGTCGTCTTACATGATCAACATGGTAATTTTCATATCTGCTGCGAGATTCAAAGGCTCGTGGACAAGGCTCACTTTTCGTAATGCCACCTGTGTGGTGATGGGGTTGTAACCCCCTTGCAGAACTCGTCGACGAGGGGCTCATCTGATCACGAATTGATTCGGACTGTTTTTGGTCATCTCCAAGGGCGTTCTCTTTCACCCCTACACTGGACTGTCCTGATTTCGGTAAAAGGAAAGGATTCTTGCCCAGCATGGCCAATGGCGGCGTCGGTGATACATGTTTCAGTCGGATGTGCTGTTTCATGTAAAATGGAAAATAATCAGTCACCAAGAATCTAGAGAAAAAGCGAATCTTGTTCATTTAGGGTACAAAATCAAGGTCTACAATTAAGTTTAGTCATATACCTGATTCATTGAGTGCTCCGACGCGTATTTACGATTACAATCCTCACAAGCAAAGGTGCGGTCAAGTTGTTGATATGACCTACGAATCCGTTTTGTCGACGTTGCTTTCGGCTTATCCGAACCATTATCGGGGGAACCTGTAGGGTCGTCTAGAATATCTATTTTTCTATCAGACTTCATGTTGGAAACGGGAAACTATGTATTTAACTCTGAAGGGTATCAATATCGTATCAATAATTCATTCAATTGGTTGATTTTCTATAGGTTTCGCTGCTCTCGTTTTGTTGATCGTTGTTCTCTCTAAAGATTCATTGCGAGTTGAAAATTCATTTATGAACGAAAAATGTATCGATCCTATGTATATATATATATATATATATATAAATAAATAAAATTAATAAATGAGGTAAAACATTTTTTTTAAATATCTACCCATCCCCTCCGACCAGGGCACCAGCCCCCAGGTCCCAGCCTCTCAGGCCCCAGGCGCCCAGCCCCAGCGGGCCCAGCCCGATGAAGTAAATATTTAGGAGAGAATTCTGAATTCAGCTGCCGTTTTGAATTGCCTCCTGTTTATCTTCTCTCGCGTAAGGAAACAAGGTTTTTTTTCAACTGAACATTGCCATTCCAGCAATGCTATTTATTATGACTATTTATCTATATATATATATATATATATTTTAAATATTGACATAGCCTTCTAAATTGAATAAGACGGCTTGCATATTTACTTTCAAATTTTCTTGCTTGATTTTTGTTTTCCCAATAGAAATCAGTTCTCCGCTATTTTTTATTTTTGTTTATAGTTTTATATTCGCTATTTCCAATATCACTCCACAAGTTGCGGGGCGATTGGTGAATGAGGAATATGCAACCGCCGAAAATATTTCTTATCAGAAACAAGAAACGCATAGTGCTCCAGTCCCCGGAATCTAGCAGTAATTGTGGGGTTTTTTTTTGAAAGTATATCATGCTCAGTATAATTTTTCGAAGGGTCATCAAAATTCAAAAAGACAATGCTTCTTTAAACTTCACAGTTCAGTGAACTCCAGTCTATAAAAATTAATGTCTTTTTTTTTGGTTGTTTATTCTTTTTCACGAAAAACTAAACAAACCCAACACAAAGGTTTGTCCGAAATCATGAACTCGTGATGATGTTATTTATTTAGATTTTTCATGAATAGTCTGCACTCTGCTGGAGTGCTGGGACTTGGGATTTGAGTATTATTTTAGTTTTGCGTGATCGAGTCTGTTGAGTCAGTTCCTCTCTGTGGCGTGTTAACTTTGTATTCTGTACTCTGTATTTACTCTGTAGTCTGTCACAGCCCAAGAAGAGCCTAAGAGGCCCAAAGGCCCAAGCCCCAAACTCCCAATGGCTGAACTTGTATTTAGTACATATAATAGAGAAGTACATTTGTTTTTAAAAAACAATAAAAACAAAACAGAAAAAAAGCAATAAATATGTATGTACGTAGAATGAAAGGAAGTTTTTTTTAAACAAAAACGTTAGGGGGGGCGCATATTTTTTTAGAATAATCAACAATATATTTTTGCTCTTTTTTAAAAAAAACAAACAAAAACAATTATATTACTTTACAGTTTGCACGTTGCACTGTACTCAATACTCAATATTGTACACTTCTTCTTCCCTCTTCTAAAGTTCTTATTGTGTGCAGGACTGCAGGACTGCAGGTTGTAGTTTGCACTTTGCACACTCTCTACTACTCTAAATAAATAGTATTTTGTAGAGTAGTCTCCAGTCCCCACTCTCCAGTCTCCAACCCCAAAAGCGTATTAACCTATTACGAATAGACTGTCTCCGGTCACCCCAGTCTCCGCTGTCTCCAAGTGACAACTGCAGTTTTTTTTTAAACTTCGAGTAGATTCCTGTATTTAAAATATATACTTTTCAGATTGAATAAATATAAGCGTTTCCGTTCAACATTTCTGCTTTATGAAAATTTGTAAGGTGCATGTATCAGGTCACAAGATTGTCCTATATTCCGAATTGTAACGCCGCAACAACCCGCTAGATTTCCTCACATTGGTCCATTTTGATTGAATTCGGTATAGAGTGCAAGTGCAAGATTGATATTTCGTTTATAATTTTCTTTTAAAAAACGAATATGTAGCGTTTCCGTTCAAGTGATTGAACTTCTCTTAAATAACGTACAAAATGATATGGTTTTAGTTCAGTATATTGTTTTTAAAAACAAAACAAATGTTATTTTTTTTCATACATACGTACATATAATACATAATTATTGCATTTATTTATATTTATTTATACTATTTATAATCTCGATTGCAAAAACTGAAAAACAATAGACAACAAACCCTATTTCTAAAAACGACAGAAAGTTATGTGTATTTCAAAAAACATATGTTTTTACTTTGAATAGCCCGACGGCTGTCAGACTGTGACTCAATATACGACTGTCTCACACACTGACACAAACCATAGTCTCACAGACTCCACTCTCACATTGTGACTAAATATTTTTATTTTTACTATTTCTCTCCCAATGAATAGTGCTCTCTTGATTGTGGCACTGCCACTGGCAAAGAGGTAGCCTACTCTCTACAAAAAAAAATAGTACTTAGTCATAGAGCTCTCTCTCTCAGGTCCAAGCTGTCCTGCGGTCCAACTGAGTTTCCAACGGACAGTCGGACGTTAATCCGTTCAGACATATTTTCTTTCTTCTCTCTCTAAATGCTGACTGAGAGTTTAAGAATTGGTCTAACTCTTGTTAGTCTTACTCTCAGTCTCTTCTCGCCTTTTCTCTCTTCTTGTTGTGTGGGTGTGTGACTTGTGTGTCGGTGAAAGGACATAACAGACTGACACTGGTTTTTGTTTTTTTTTAGAACAAAAAACATCAACAACCAAATGGTGAGCCATGAGGACGGTGAGTCGGTGAGCTTTGAGGACGACGAGCCTTGAGGGCAATGAGGGGTGTGTGACCTGTGGAAGTGTGGGCTGTGAATCTGTGATGCGTGAGCCTGTGAGGCTAACCTCAATACGTTTCCCATTATAACATTTTTATAGCAGATAAATAGAAACTGCTCGGTAGACTGTAGGAGTCTGATTACTGATATTCCAAAAAAAAGAACAACAGTAAAAGGATATAGAGTAAATAGAATAAACCTTTATATATATAAAATGTTAAACTTATACAGGCTTACAGTAGTTTGGTACGAAATATTCAATTCATCATCAATCATCAACTCCTCACGGCTTTATTTAAAATATACAACAAGTACAACAACCTCACGAGAATCACTGCTGACCGCTCAATGCGCTCATGTATGGCAGCCTGGGCCTCACCGCCCTCACGTCTCATAAACCCGTTTTGTCTATATGAGATAAACTTTTAACTTCTAAAAACGCAAAAGGTTTTGTTTTTTTTTATGCGTATAATAAATATAAATCAAAAGATCAAAAAAAGAATTACATCATGTGTATGATGTGTTTGTACTTTGTATTCAGTAGTAAAAGTACACTGGTTTACATATTGTACCAATGAAATTGCCATATTACATTCCTATACCTTTACTAATTTTGTATTGGGAACCCTTTTTAAAAATACAATTTCAAACATTAATAAAAGCTGACCCAGAGGTACATTTAAAATTAATATTATTGGCAGACAATACAAATTATTCGTATTGACGAGTAATGAGCGTATGCTTAATCCCATCCCGATCGGACTATTGGATCAAAAGTTGTGAATAGTACATATTCTACCAGAACTGGGTCAATCTAGCCAGACGTAAGCGTTATACAAGTCCATCCATACCTAACAGACCTTTTCTGGCTTTATAGCATACTACTTTAATTGTCTATGGGAAGTTATTTATATGTGCGCGTATAGCGAATCTGGACGTGTATTTCGGGTACCTCACGTTCTCACTGATATAAAAGATACTGGTTAGAATATGAGGCACCCGAAATACACGGACTCGCTATATATACGCGCACACACAACCCCCCATAGACCATTCACGTAGTATGTTATAATGCCAGAAAGGTCTGTTAGGTATGGTTGGACCTATATAACGCGTTCGTGTGGCAAGAGATAGACCCAGTCTGGTACCGGAATACAGAATGGAATACTTCATAACTTTTGAACCAATAGTCCGATCGGGACGGGATTAAGCATATGTTTATTACTCGTCAATACGTTGAATTTGTATAGTTTAATTGCCAATGAAATTAAGTTTTTAAGGCGCCTCTGGGTAAAGTAAAAATCTCCTGTCTCCGAAAACCCAATTTTTTTTTTATGTTCACCGCTCCTCCTAGAATGATTTTATAAATTAGAATTGTTTTTGTTTTTTTTTAAAACCAACAAAACAACTTTTGAACATATATACTCATAGGAAAAACAATCAAAACACATTTAATTTTCTATTTTACTCTACTACGGTACACTGCTCATTATCTAGCAATAGGTCGGTACTCGGGAGTTGGGAGTCTTGGGAATTTAAGTTTGGGAGTTGGAAGATAAGATTGGTGGAAGCATGGGAATGTGATCAGAGAATCGCCAATCAATATTGAATGTTTTATCAGTACAAAGTCTTAAATAGTTCTTTTCTGGCCAACTGCAAATACGCCGAACACATGTCGTGTTTGACAACTAATACAATTTTTTTTTTAAATGTACTGCTGCACACATATACAAAATGGAAGAAAAAAATCATGCCTTGGCGTCGTGACTCGACAATTCGACTTTCGACAACACGTTGCGAGAATAGCTAACATATTTACTCTCATGGAAGCAACTAGTAGGTAAAGCTTGAACTGACACTCCACATAACCCACTAATATACTTTATTTTTGTTATATTTTCATGTACGAACATCTTTTGATTCTTCTTCATTTCTATTTATTTTTTTGGTTATTTTCCCTCTAGTCACCATGACAGGACTCACAGGAGTCACTCATAAAACCCTGAGTTATAGGACTTCACAGTCCAACTTAAAAATTAAAAAAAAAGCAAAAAGCAAAACAAACGAATATGTACAACAATTTTTTTTAAGTATATTTACTAAGTATATTACTGGCATTGTGCCAGCCCACGCCCCACGGGTCACCGGCACACGGCCATATGCCGGGAGCGAGCGCTATTTGACATATATGTATTTTTTTTTAAATATGTCAAAAGTTGTGACATGTGTGTTTTTTTACGTTAACTCCTCTCCTTGTGTTGACCACAAGAGAGAGACGCAGTAAATATTTTATTTTTTTCGCGTTCAATTTTCGGAAGGCTATGTCGTGTTTTATAAAAAGGACAAATTATGTTTGGTGAAGGACCATGTTT